AGCCTCCGAGATATAAGGACACAACAAGTCTGTAATATAGGAGGGAGCCTGACTGTGAAAGGCCCTGATGGTCAGCACCAGGATTTAAACTGGAACTGAAAAGAGACTGGGAGCTGATGAAGAGTTTTTAGAATCAGCGTAATATGAGCCCTTCTGTTTGAGGTCAGATCGCTCTCTCTTCACCTGAAGGCTTCTTTATCTAATGCTTGTAATGATGCGTTAAAAATGACCCTAATTAAAACTTAGACCACTTGAGTCATTAAACAATAATTACCGGGCAAATGCTGAGTCGCTGCACCGGATGTAAGGCTTTAATACAGAGTCAACCAATGCATGCATTCATATCACACAGTAAGAATCACCAGCACAGTAAATTGAAGGTGAATTTTTGCTGATACATCCTGAGTAACGATACAGTCCTCATCATCAGTGCTGCACCTGAGCTTAGCCTGCCTATAATGCACTGTAGCATAATCAGCTTTCCAGGAACAGGCCTGCAGGCCTGGCAAGTTCCCGCTGGATATAAGCACTTACACAACCTGGGTGCTGTACCATAATGACCCAGCTTCATTTTATTTGCAGACCTAATTAGTTTCTTTGGGGTTAGAAGACGTGTCATTGCATGAACATTACCTTCTCACTCCCAAAAGTTTCCACTTTCCTGTTTAAATCTCACATATTTCTGATGTAGATAATTGAAACCAATCAATGTATCAAATTTATTGACAAGTAAATAACTAAGTATTATTTTTAAGCAGCCAGTTTTTACATTTCTGCCTTTAAAAGATGTTATTTGTTGTTGTTTTTTTTTGTTTGTTGAACTGCGCAGGATGCTCTGCACACTAACTTTGTAGGAAGCTTTAAACCGATACATCATGGTCACATTTTTTACATACCAAAAAACCTGACAAGCGTGTCGCCATTCAGAGCCATAGATAAGCCTTGTTATGACATTACATTATAGCTGGAACTAATTTCATATAGTGAAGAAAATTGGTTGGTATGGAAGCTCATTTCAGGCACTTCAAAAGACAAAAGGTACATGGTACGGTCATGATTATGTGATTTTAAGTCATTATTACCAGATACTAAGTCATAATTTGCACTTCCAGGTCATAATTTTGAGATTTAAAGTCTTTGTTATAACATACTTTGTTTCTCATAATTTTCAGAATCAGAAGAGCAATTAGAGCAAAATAAGGTATATTATAATAAAACAGAATAAAATAAAAAAAAATAGTAAAATTACAACCTTGCCATATAAACAGTGTAAAATAGGATATAAGAATAAAAAAGGATCACATTATAAACAAGGCTTAGACTAACTTTATTGTCATCTTGTGCACGAAATTTTGTAAAAAAAACATGGTGCAAAAAAACGCATTGTGTGATGTGGTGTGATGTAGAATGTTTTTTCAGATTTACAGTTTTTTCAACATTCAATTTTTATTTATTTTTTTTACTTTTTCAGCTTTTAACCTTCAGCCGTCTGATGGCGGTGGGAAAAAAAAGAAAAAACTGAATAAAAACAATCGACAGTATTTACAATTTACAATGTTGATCAGTACCAAATGACATTTAATTGCACGTGACCGTGTTATTGCGCATAGTGAAGTAATTGAATAAATAAATAATAAATGAAAGTCAGAGAGATGTATTATACAGATTGATGGCCACAGGCTGGAATTACTTCCTGTGGCGGTCTGTGGTGCAGCGTGATGAAATGAGTCTCTGACTTAAAGGAATAGTACACCCAAAACATGATTAGCCTTCATTTTCAACTCACCCCCATGCTGAACAACACTCTGGAGTACTTTTTTGATATCTCAAATGCATCTGGAGATCTGGGAGGCTTCTTGCTGTCTGCTGACATTCAAATAATGGAGGTCTATGGTGCCCGAGGCAGAAAGGTCCATAAAAGTCCACAAAAAACGTGTCAATATTCCTCCATACTGCTCGTCCAATGTATTCCAAGTGTCCTGAGTGGGTAGTGTCCATAATTTACTCGAAACGAAGTCATTTAGAATGTTTTTAGAGCATAAACAGTAGTGTATAGGATTTCCTGAAAGCGCGCACATGCGCGATCACGATGCTACGGAAGCCGGCAGACCAAACCAGATGAAAGTGCGCATTCAGCGTCTGCTCTGCCAATAATGCAAGCGTAGAAGAAGAAATGTGCTGTTTACCTGTGCAAAGAAAGAAACAACGAAAGAAAAATGTCTGAGGACTTCAGTGTTGAGGAAGAGCATGAGTTCTTTGCCGAGCTGAATGCACACTTTCATCTGGTTTGGTCTGCCGGCTTCCGTAGCGTTGTGAGCGCGCATGTACGCGCTTTCAGGAAATCCTATACACTACTGTTTATGCTCTAAAAACATTCTAAATGACTTCGTTTCGAGTAAATTATGAACGCTACCCACTCAGGACACTTGGAATACATTGGACGAGCAGTATGGAGGAATATTGACACGTTTTTTGTGGACTTTTATGGACCTTTCTGCCTCGGGCGCTGGGCACCTCCATTATTTGAATGTCAGCAGACAGCAAGAAGCCTCCCAGATCTCCAGATGCATTTGAGATATCAAAAAAGTACTCCAGAGTGTTGTTCAGCATGGGGGTGAGTAGAAAATGAAGGCTAATCATGTTTTGGGTGTACTATTCCTTTAAGGTGCTTCTGTGGGCGACCAGCACATCATGAAGCGGATGTGCAGAATTGTCCAGCCTGGATTTTATCCTGGCCAACATTCTACTCTCTGACACTGCTGTGGAGGACTACAGATAGCTGGGGGGGGCACAGACTTTGAGCACCCGGGGGCTCACAGGATCCAGGCCTGCAGACTTGCCTGATTAAAGTCTGCAGGCTGCAGGGGTGTAGGTGTTTGCCAGAGAGTGCATTCAGTCTGGGAGCCGGGGGAGGAGGTGTGAAGGGGGCTGTCACAGGGAGAGGAGGGGCTGGGGGTGAGCTGGGTTCACAGAGTCAAAACAGAATAATCTCGTTGGCCACGCCCACACTGCCTTCTGGTCCTCTGCTTCTGGATGGTCTGAATCCAACGATGGTCCTCATTCCACTCCAGCTTCCTCCTTTATGCCCTCCTCTTCTCTAATCTTCGCTTTCGGCTCCGTCTGGATCGTTTGCACCTCCTCTTTGCTGCCAGCTCTGAAAGCCGTCTTCTTACTATTAAGAAGGATCTTTTAGTCCTTTGTCACCCACGACTTATTTAGGTAACAAAGGACAGTATCGATGCAGAAGTTAATGTAATCAGGGACACACTCTCTGAGCCCATTGATGTCCTCGCTATATGGCTCACATGACTTTGAATGTCATAATTGTGCCCCAAACAACCTCAGCAGCTCACAGGTTTCTTCTCGTTAAAAGGGGGTTTTTCCTCTTCACTGTCGCTACATGCATGCATAGTCTGGGAGATTGCTGCAGTGAACTCCTCATCAAATACTTGATGCAATCAGCGGTTTTCCTTAGATAAAAACGTTTTACTCATTGATCTAATTGACTTTGTAAGTCATATATAAGCCATAAACTTATATATATTACATATATTTACTGTGAATTGGTGCAATAGGCTATAAATTTAATGATTATGACTTTAAAATTCAAAATTCTTTATTATATTTAGTCAGATATTGACTGCCATATATTGGACTTTCTTGTCAAATAAAATTTTTTAGGATAGAAAATAAAATAAAATCTTAAATAATATTGCAAACCCGACAAACTAGTGAAGCTAACTAGTAGGAATTTAATTAGGCAGCACTTTCAGTTTCATTTAACCCTTACTAGATTATTGAATTTTGTCAAAAAATAAAGTTATCAAAACAACCAGCTGGAATGTCGTGAAGTATCTCTTTAAATTAGCCCCCCGTGAGGTCCTCCGCTCAGCCCGCCTCTTTTCACTTAATCAGCCAATCAGCGCGCGGCGCACGTGACGAGCAGTCTTTGCATGACCTCATCCCTGGTGTGGGATGACGTCAAATTCAAGATGGATGGAATCACGACCAGCAGACCGAAAGCCACACAACACTGAATAAAGTCCTGGCTGCGTGGAGTCGAGAGCGTTTTCACGACGGGGCGGGTAAGTGTGGACAGGCTAGAATGTTTCTCGCGTGGATTCCCCACGCTGAGCTGGTGTAGAGAGCTGAGGCTTTTTTCCTTTTTCCGCGCTGACGTAACTCTAAAAGGGGATTGAGCTGCTGTGAAAGCCGAGCGGCTCCAGCCTGTGGCGGGCTGTCAGGACGGGCAGGTGGGGGTTCTGCTCCGGTTGGGCGGTTGATGCTGGAAAACGGTCCGTGGAACCGAACAGAGCGGACCGGAGCGGCTCCGGTTGCTGGGATTAAAAGCCGCGTCCGGAGAAACACGCTCAACTTTTCCGCTCCCCCCTCCCTCCCTCTCTCTCTCCTCTGTGGAAGGAGCTGCTGAGAGCCGAGCCGCCGCCGTGTCACGCCGTGTGTCCCCACGGTCACGCTGGCAGAGAGCGAGTGCGTTTCTGACCGGAACCAGACGTTTCTGTCGAAGTTCTGACAAAAGAAACTAAAATAATCCACGCGCTCTGATATAGACAGCCTCATTCAGCCTGTTTTCTACTTGGATAAAAAGATAAAACTGCCACGGAGGCATTTTAATTTCTTATTTTACTTCCAACGTTTCCTCCAAGTTTAAAGCCAGAATCTATGAAGCCTGCTTTAGTTTTTAATGAATGAATGGAGCTTTTTTTCCCCCCATTAATAAATATAGAAAGAGTCAAAGCGCTAAACGGAACAACAGCTTCCGTTTGAGATTTTCAAAATAAAGGTCAGATAATAGAACAGGTATCAGTGGGATATTTTATTATAAGAAGATTCTAGGTTTATCTGTGATAAGTGATTTTATCCATATTAAATATTAAAACTGCACATATACATAAAAGCCAATATGAATAAACAAAAGTTTAAACTAACAAATCTACACCCAATATGCAGAGGCGTAGCCAGGACGGTTTTATACGGGTGGCCAGGCAATAACCAGTGTACACTGAGGGGGGGCACCAAAACCTCAAAGTCTAAATTGTTCCAACAGGAAAATTAACAAGCAAAACATCCATATTTTCTAAATAAAGACAAACTATATTTTCCCACAGCCTTTGCTAACAAATAGACGAATATATTCAAACATTTGTGCTTTCTAGATAAAAGGTAAAGTGGATAAAATTCTTTCAGGTTTGAGTTTCGTGGCCACCCCTGGCCCCCCATCTAGCTCTGCCTCTGCCAATATGGAAAGAAACAAGCAGTAGGAAATGGTGCAGATAAAAGTTTAAAAGAGAGTTAAATGTATGGAAGATTTAATTTTATTCCTCCACAAATGATTTAGTGTTTATAAAAAAACCTCTTGGTGTCTTTAATCTTTTAAAATGATGCATGGATTCCCCTGATTGTGTTCAGGTGGATCCATTCATCCAAACTAATAATGTTCTTTGGTTTGTCAGAGCATGTTTGCTTTTATTCCATTGACAGGGAGTTTAGTGTAACAGTTTTATTGTTTGTTTTCTGGATGAGCAAACCCCAACACCGACTGACTTGGACAAAGACAACTTTTATTGTCATTTATTACACACAAAGTGTATTCTAAATGAAATTCTACAGTTCTCATGACATTTCCATTTCTTAAAGTGCAGCAGTGATCAAATGTAAACAGTGTGGGAGGGGGGAAAAAAACATGGTGCAAAAAACATATTGATATGGAGGTTAAGAGCATTAAAATATATATATTTATTTATAAAATATCTAAATGTATAGTATTTATGGTGACTGAACCAATGCAGGATCCTGAACTTGGATTTAAAAGTTGTTTATTCATTCAAATGGGACGATTTATATTTAAAGTAAAAAAAATAAAATAAGCAAATCCATCTTATTTCAGGTTCATAACTCATTATTGTCTTATTTTATGGATAAATATACTCTTTCTATTAGCAGATCATTTCATTTACTCGCTTAACTGAAAATGCAAAATTTGTACCTATTTTGTGAATCAGTTTTTGCAGTGTTGGACTCAACATGATCCATGTCCTGCTTTAACTGCATTATGATTAATAATCTATCTATGTTTATTGGCTTTTTTATGATGGAGTATTAAGGTTTTTATCTAAGTGAGGGAAATGTGTTTCAGCAGCTAACTGGCATTGTGCAACTGGAATGCTGCAAAAAGTGAACTAAAAGTAAATTTATTAAAAAACAGTTTTTGCACTTCATTTATGAAGATAGTAAACTGATCTGCCAACAAAATAAGATTTTTTAGCATTAAAAAAATAAAATCTTTATTTTATCTCAAGTGAACTAGATAAATAAACAATTATCTTACACTGGGTGACAAAAATACTCATTTTATATGCAGATAATTTTATTCCAAAAATTCTGATAGGGATATGTCCCTATGGTCCCTATGCATACCTATGCCCATACTGCAGATCATTTTATTTTCTTGCTTAGATGCAAGGATAAATATTTAATTATATGACAGTTATAGACCAAATGGGATGAGAAAAAACCTATATATTAAACCACAAAATAAAAAAAATAAAACTGTAGAAATCCCTAAATTCATTTAAAAAATAAATTAATATAGGAGTTTGTTGGTCTACAATTTTTAGGGTCAGGTTCTGCGATATAACTTCTTAAATATAGTTTCTGATGTTGCAGTTTGTTTGTTTTTTTACAACATGTCTTTTCTCCCATACTATTTACATTTCATCACTGCTGCACCTTAAGGAATGGAAATGTTATAAAAGCTGTACAAAATTGAATCTCCTTTTTGTATACACTCTGTGTATACAAGTCTACAAGTCCAGCTTTAGAGAGCCTCTCCTATCTGCTCTGCTGGGTTGCCACACTTTTACTGGGCTTTATTGCTTTACCTCTGCTAAAGCTCCAGACTTTGATTCTCAGCACAGGTTGTTGTGAAACAGTTTGATTTGAAAGGATTTTTTATACTTCCTGCTTCAGCCGGTGTCTGACAGTAGCTTAGTGTTTTCCTCTCCTCAAATGATGTAATGCTCCATAATTACAAGCGCTTGTATCTGGCTTTGACTTGTTTAACTATTTATGAAAGTAAAAAGGCTCAGCTCGCTGCAGATGAGCTAAAACAACAACCGTAACTATTTTTGTTTTTTTAATACATGCCTGCCTCCCTGTGAAGCACGTCATTGTTGATACCCCAGAATTTTCTGTATTTTTGTCTTAGTGGGAAAAAAATGTTGTGAATCATTATTTTAATCGATACATTTGCCACAGAGGAGTAATTACCCACATAAATTTAAAGTCGATACTAAATGAGTGAGATTTGAAATATTTAAGTTTTGGATGCTCTTGTTTCCATCTGCAGCTTCCATTTGGTAGATTTCAGAAAATGTTTGCTTGATGTTTTATATCTCATAAAGTACTCATATTTCCTAATCATAATCAGAAGACATATAAAAATAGTGTTTTCATTTTAACACAATAAAAAAAAAAACACTGAGCTCATAAAAGGTCAAAGAAACAGAATTGAACTTACCGGTAAGTAAAAATGTGAACAAACCTACAGATTGCACAAGCAAAGGAACACAAATGATACACAAGGATTTATATACACTGGCTGATGGGACCATTGTAGCACAACAGGGTTAACCAAACAATAAACCAACAATCTACCAGCAATAAAACAGTACAGTGAAGTTTGTTCAACTGAACTACAGCAAAAAAAGGACATAAAAACAAATCAAAAAAACTTATACAAATATATTAAACATAAAACCAAACTAAAGGTTTCCCCCTCTCTATCAGGAGCTAGTGGTGTAGTCCAATTAGTGCTTATTTTCACGTACTCTGAGCCCTGGCTACCATCTTTGCGAGAGAAAATCTGGGAAATTATTACTGTAAGAAAGACTTAATAAAGATCAAACCCTTATAAGAATTAAGTAGATAGAAATAAAGAAATAAACTGAATGTTTGCGCTTAGACCAAACGTATTCAAACCAATCAATAAACTTCTGCAAATTAAAATGTATGATTGTGGCTGGCTGGATGGATAAAGGAATGTAGGTACTTTGAAAACATTCCCACCTTAGGTGTGGTCATGGTTTGCTCCATCACATGTAAAACTCTGCAGTAAATGGATTATAAGGCTATGAAAGCTCTTAAAGATTGATGCTTTTTCTGAAAAACACGTGAGGAAGAATAACCTGCTGGTGGATATTTACAATAACCTGTTAAGATAATATCTGTAACTTTACACTGAGTTGAATAAAAATACAGAATGGTATATTTGCTTATTTTATTCTCTCTTCCAGTAGGTAATTATCGTTTTTTATGCATTTCTATTGACAGTCGACCATAAAGCATATGGATTTAAAGACTGCTGTCTTTTCTCTTTCAGACATGGAGAGCCTCGTGCATTACAGCAACCCCTCCCATGCCCTCTCGGTGTTGGGGGTCCTGAACGAGCAGCGGCTGCGGGGCCAGATGTGTGACGTGGTCCTGGTTGTGGCCGACCAGAGGTACCGGGCCCATAAGAGCGTTCTTGCTGCCAGCAGCGAGTATTTCCAGTCTCTTTTCACACGGATGGACGGAGACTCGCTAAGAGTTGTCAACCTGGACTTCTGTGAACCTGATGCCTTTGAGATAGTTCTGAATTACATTTACTCCTCGTCGCTCTTTGTGGACAAAGGAAGCCTGGCGGCCATTCAGGAGCTCGGCTACAGCCTTGGAATCCCTTTTCTGACTAACATTGTGTCAACAAGGCCACATGCATCCTACTGCGTGTCCAGGAAAAGGCTCTCATACTCAGAGGGGGAGGAGAATGATGTCCAGACAAGGAGCGTTATCGTGTGCCGGGTCCAGAACAACGCATCTCATCCCTCCCACTCGAATTATCAGGGAAAAACATCCGACAGATCTCCGTCTCCGTACTCTCCTCGAGGGGGGGCTCAACTTTCATCAGATCATAACTCACATGAGGCAGTCAAAAACTCTGAGTCCAGCAGGAAATCATCAGAGCAAAACAAATCCCCTGAAAGGAAGCCCAGCTATCCTTACTCCACCATTCTAAAAGGAAACCCATCTCGTGTCTCCTCAGTCAGACCTCAGCTAACCTCATCAGTGTCTTTTAGCGATGTCGACATGCCGCATGTCAGGCTGCAGTCTGGTTCCGACCAGGACATCAAAGAAGAGAACGATGAGCTTGAACATCGGTATCCTAACAACGTCCCCTTCCAGGGTCAGCCCAGACCCCTGAGCCGGGTAACTGACCGGAGCGGCCCCCTGATTAAAAGCCTGCTCCGGAGATCGCTGTCCATGGATAGCCCCGTTCCAGTTTTCTCCCCAACCCTGGAGCTCAAAGATCTCCAAAACCGAGAACAATCGGTCGTCAAAATTGCCTCAGGAGCTGAAACCTTCGCCCACAATGGCAACTCGGCTAGAGAGTCCCCTTTGGTCTCAAGGTCCAGGTTTCACAGCAGGTATGAAACTCAGGTAGAAGGAGATGTCAGCGTAAAGGCTGAGCCCAGCAGTCCCCTTGCTGATCCCATGGACATTGTTAGGATCACAGTCGGAGACTCTCTGCCGGTCAACCTGAAAGACTTGCAAACTAATTACAGCCAGGGCTCCAGGACGGATTTTAGCCAAGGGAAAAGGAAAGACCGGCCGGAGAACAGAAGGTACCCTTTGAAAAAAAGCAAAGTATTCAAAGAACACGTTGCTTCAAAGGAAATGGATGTTTCAGAGACTGAGCCTCAGTATGAAAACAGCGACCGTGGTGAAAACATCGGGGAACCCTCGCAGCTCAAGATTTTCAAATGCTGGAGCTGCCTAAAGGTTTTCCGCTCCAGCGCTGGACGGCATCGCCACATCAACATGTATCACAACCCGGAGAAGCCGTACGCTTGTGACATCTGCCACAAGCGGTTTCACACCAACTTTAAAGTGTGGACTCACTGCCAGACCCAGCACGGGGTTGTCCAGAATCCGGCGTCATCCTCCAGCTCGTCTATGCTGGATGAAAAGTTCCAGAAGAAGCTGATAGATATTGTGCGAGAGAGAGAAATAAAGAAAGCTTTGCTCTGGAAGCTGAAGAGGAATAAGCAGGGTTTGCAGTCTCCTTCTCTTGCCAAAAAGAGATCAAGGTCCAGCTTTGTGTGTCCCTACTGTGGCAAAGCGTTTGGGTTCCAGTCCCAGTACCGGCAGCATTTAAGGACACACCCTGCTGAGAAGGCCGACCAGGAGACGGGGATTGAGAGTGTTGTATATCCCGAACAGGATGAGATCCTTCAAGAGAACAGTACAGGCAGTGGGGTTTACTCTTGCAGGCTTTGTAACATGAAGCTGTCCTCCCTGGCAGAGCAGGGCGACCACGAAAGGGGTTGTCGACACTCCACCGTGTGCCCTTACTGCGGCCTCCGCTTCTCCAGCCCCGTCGTCAAGAAGGACCACGAGGCCCATTGTAGGTACAAGAAACTGACATGTCTGGAATGCATGCGCACCTTCAAATCTTCCTTCAGCATTTGGCGCCACCAGGTGGAAGTCCACAACCAGAACATGATGACTGGTAAGAACCAGATCCACCTGAACCAACCGGACGAAACCGGAAGCAACGAGGACGTACTCAAAGAGGAGCCTTACAGTGATGAGCCTTCCGCCCTCGGGAGCTTTCCAGAGAACAGCTACAAAGACTCGTTGGGTCCACCCCTGTATGACTCGGAAGAATCCTCGCCTGAGGATCTGAGCATGGGCCACCAAGGCAAACTGGTGGTGAAGGAAGAACCGCTAGAGGAAGCGGTGAGTGATAGGGACACCTTGGAGGCCGGCAATACCGGACCAGAGGAAGCCGGGGTGTGGCCTTGCGAGAAATGCGGCAATCTGTTCAGCTCTCGCAAAGACCTGGAGCGGCACCAGGAGCTGCTGTGCCACATCAAGCCCTTCATCTGCCATGTCTGCAACAAAGCTTTCAGAACCAACTTCCGCCTTTGGAGCCACTTCCAGTCTCACATGTCTACTGCCAACGAAGCCGGCGCCAGAGAGATCAACCCGCACGCTCCTCCGCAGTCTCCTTCGCCGCCCCTGACTCCCCAGAACTCTGAGCGCCACTCTCCACAATCCTCTGTGCTCAGGTCTCCACAAGCACCACCAGCAGCGACCATCCCTGAGGAGTCGAGCAGCCCGGAGCCCTGCGACACTTCAGTGCACAAGACCAACAAGCCCGGAGCAGAACCCAGCAGCCACAACTCACTATCCAGATCCAACAGCAGGGAGAACCCGGGTGGCCCCCAGGAGCCGGACACGCTCTTCTACCACGCTCCTTCCCTGTCGGCGCTGACTTTTAAGAGGCAGTACATGTGCAAGCTCTGCCACAGAACCTTCAAGACGGCCTTCAGTCTGTGGAGCCACGAGCAGAGCCACAGCCACGTGTAGCGCCGCCAGAGTCGCCTTTCTTTGAACACTTCGTACCAGAAGGTGAACGTCTCGGCGTGAAAAACCCAGACTCTGAATGTAAAGCTCATGTGCTTGCCTCCAGCTGTATAACTCAAAGGGGCCATGTGTGTTAGAGGTGTAAACATGAATGTGCAATCAAGTGCTAGATTCCCCTGTAAGATGATTAAAAAAGCAGTGGCTTCTTTGAAAACGGTGTATCAGAATATATCTTTTTATTATCTTTAGTTGTTTGTATTTACCCCAGTGTGTGTTTACTGAAAAGCGAGGTACAGAGCTGCTTCGCTGTATCTCTTTAGATGTAAAAGAGGAAGCGGCTTTATATCTCGTCCTCTCAGAGTACGGTGGACAGTGCTTTAAGGTTCTTCAAGCTGCTGTTTAAGTAAATAACGATGCTTTTGCGTTTCTGTTCGCCCTTTCACCTGGTGCCAGTGGTGTCCCTTCACCTTCTATCAGTGGCCTCAAAGATAAACTCAATATGCACTTTGTTTAAAAGCTTAACTCTGTTACGGGACGATGTGGACGCCGCTGCTTCAGGTCATTTAGAGGATCAAAACCATTGAAATGTTTTCCTACAAGTCTCATTCTGGCTTGGAGGAAGACTTCAAATGTATATTCCTGATAATCAGCCTATTGACTTATGTTTACTTGTGTATATATAAATCAGGTTGTTCAGTCCAGTGATTCATCATATGGTTTTACAAAAGCCTACATAAGTTTTCTATATCATTTTCTCTTAGCTTTGTTAACATTACAGGTAAATAGGTAAATAAACCCAATTTATTGCAGCAGCAAACATCAAAACAAAGAAAATTTCAACCTTTGTTGTGAGTTTATTTATTCAGTGGAGAGAAATCTAATTTTAAAGGAGTAGTTTTTCTTACATTTGTTGTCAGTTGGGCAGCATTTGGATTTATAACAATTTTTCAATGCTGCAGCAAACAGATTGTGAGCTCAATTTCTCTGTGACTCACTCCTTAGCAGTCCTGTGGGGGAAAAAAAGGCAGATATGGTGTCTGGTGAAGAGATTTCGACTTGCAAAGTTGCATGCAGCAGGTATACCCAAAGTGGGTCCTCGCAGGCTGCTGTCCTGCAGGTTTCAGAGGTTTCCCTGCTTTAGCACAGCTGGTTCTGATGATTGCAGTTCAATAAAAGCCTGTTAATCAGCAATCGATGAAAATCAGCAGTGCTGAAGCAGAGAAACCGCTAAAACCTGCAGCACAGCGGCCCACGAGGACCGACTTTGGGCATTCCTGGCCTACAGCTTCACTACTAGATCCTTAAACTCAGATTGCTCCCCAGGCGCTGCAGCCAATCACTGCTTCCTGAGGCGGTTGGTTAATGCAAATGTTAAAACACATAATTTTTGTTGTTTTTTTATATCAGATCTTCTAATTAATATAATTTAGGTGTGTTTCTACAGTTTACCCCCAGAACTTCCACTGTTATGTGCTAAAAAGCTCAGGCAGTGTCCCCAGTTTACTATCTGGCTAAAACATGCCTGTTATTTTTAAATGGCAACCAGAAAGCAACTTCTCAGTGATTAGACGCTGCTAGAACCTCCTGGACTGTTAGGTGTATCAGGGTGTGTCAATGGTGATTTTCTTTAATGATTTTATCCCAGCTGAATAAATATGCTGATTTTGAAGTTGGGGTTTATTTCTAAATTATTAGTTTGCTGCTGAGAAAAGAGATTAATTTATTTTAGGGCTTTTTTTCCCACTTTTTTTTTACCAGGACGAGAAGTTGTGCTGCGCACAGTTTTAATGTCGTTCTTATCGTCCTTTATCAGCTCCTTTTACTTTCTGTTGGAGCCTGCAGAACCGCGGCCTTTCAGCCAGACATGGGATGATGGATTTATTCATGTTTTCAAAGCTTTATGCAGTTTTCTTTCATCTTCACATAAAAGCACAAATGATTTTCAGAGGAATTGTGACTCAGGCATTTTAAGGCGGTAATGTTTTGAGGAATATCCAAAAAGAAACAAAAATAATCAGATTTATAAAGATGATTATAATTTTATTCCAGTGGTTTTGCAGTTGTATTCTTGTATCAGTAGATATTCCTGCTTTGGCTCGGTGGATTAAATCTTTGTCCTAAATTATTCTGATTATTAGGAGGAAGACCAGATGGGTTCTGTTTTTGCTTTTTTAAGGTTCAGCAAAATGCTGCATAGTGACGTTCTGCAGAAAGTCTGTATTGCTACTAGTGCTCTTAATATCGTGTGAGAATTTCACAGAAACAAATAGACTCGTGTAGACAGAAGTGTTTGTATTCTCAATTTTGTACCTTTTTTTTTTTTGGTAGTAAAAGCAGAAGTTTGATCTTTTTACTCTTCCTGTACTCTCATTGCAATAACGGATATTTGTATCGGTTGCATAATTGTTGCTGTTGGAGACTCTGTGTTGAAGTTTTCTACGTTTATTTTGTGCAACACTTCTGTAATAAAGGGTAACAGTGGAGTATCGATGCTATCGGTGGTGAATCCTTTCAGAGGTTTCAATCTTATAATGCAGGACGGTCATTTTTTATGTTTCATCAAAACAAAGGAAATATTTATTCATGTGTATCTATAAGCTTTGATGAACAAAATGGTTGGTATCCCTGTTAAATAAATAAAAAAGTGAGTGGTCACTGAAATAATTCAAGTCAGACAAAGGTAATAAATAATGAAAATGAACAAATGAAAGCCAGACATTGCTTTCCAATAAGGCTTCAGCAGAGTGATTTGAAAAAATAAACATAAAAAAGGGCCTGAACAGTGATGTTTCCCTTAACTTAAGATTTTGTTGCCCAACTTTTAGAGTCAATCGTTTCAATCAATTGATTCCTGTCCCTGTCAGTCAGACCTCTGCGACTCTCAGCAGGTATTCTGCTCCACTCCTCATTAACAAACTGATCCAGGAGTTTCAGGCTTGAAGGCTGCCTTTTCCAGACAGCATGATTTAGATTCTGCTCAACAGGATTACGGTCAGAGCTCCTGGAGAACTCCCAGCTCTTCCTGGCTGTTTCTATCTCTGCGTCTTGGCTAATTATCCTGTTGAAGATCCACGACCTGCAACTCAGACAGAGCTTTCAGACACTGCAGGTTATTTCTCTCTAAAATTCCAGATAGTCTGCAGATTTCATAGGACCCTGTGGAGATTCAGACACCCTGCGCCAGATGAAGCAAAGGAGCCCTGAGCATAACAGAGCCTCCTCCATGTTAAACAATAGGGACAGTGTTCTCTCGATATGCTTCTTTGAACATAGAGCTGATTCGCCTTAATAAAAAGGTCCAGCTTTGTCTCATCTGTCCATAGGACAGTATACCAGAAGGGTTATGTTTGGTCTCCCATTAACCTCTTACACCCTCAGGGGGTATAAATAAATTTCTGCCTGACAAAAACACACAAAAGTAAATAACTTATAGCCTCACAGCTATTAGATTTAAGAAGAAACTTTTGGTACGTCTGTAAAGGTAAGATGTCATAGAATGGTTTTCTGGTGTCAGCACCATTGTAGCTTTGACCCTGCCTGAAATATTAGGGACAAAATACAAAATATTTTGCATTTTTTGAACCTCGCCAAAATTTTCTTTGAAATAAACATTGCAAAACACTACCAAAATATTATTTATAGCACAAAAAAGTAGTACAGACTTTTAAATCTAAATGTTGTGTAAAAATATACCAAATTTGGACTCAATCAGATGAATCATATTTATTTTAAAATGGTATTAGTGAGAAATGTCTTAGGCGGAGAGGCCATTTTGGCAAATTTATCCAAAAATGTTACCAAACTCTGCCAAATGTGTTTTTTACATCAATACTGGAGGTTTGTTAAAATTACGAGGTCACGTGGCAGCTGGACCCACCGGTGGGTCCGTAGGGTTCTAGGGGTTAAGCTGAGTTGACCTGAGGTTCTGAGTTTGAGCCCCACTCCCACAAACTGCCACTCTGGGTCCCTGAGCAAGGCCCTTAACCCCATACTGCTCCCCGCGCGCCCCACAATGGCAGCTGATCCCCAAGGGGATGGGATAAATGCAGAGAGTGAATTTCTTTGCTCTAATCTAATGACAATAAAAACTAAAAGAAAAAAAATAAAGCTTTTAAGTTGACCTTTAATCTCCATAAGTTTTTATGATCTCTTATCCTACCATTCATATTGTCTTTCTCTTAGATTTGTCATTAATTTTCCTCCTGCAGCCACGTCCAGGGAGGTGGGCTACCATTCCATGGATCTTACATTTCTGAATAACGAGCCGCTTTAGTCAGAGGAGCATCAAGCTGCTTGGAGATGGTCTTACAGCCTTTACCTTTAACATGCTTGTCTATAATTTTCATTCTGATCTCCTGAGACGACTCTTTCCTTCTCTTCCTCTGGTCCGTGTTGAGTGTGGTACACACCATGTCAGTAGTCCTATGCATAGGTCATCTGTTTGAAATACTACATGGTAGACTACTGTTCTGCTAATGAGCAGACACACCATGATTTAATGTTTACCCTTGGTCATATTTTTTGTTGTGACTGGGGAAACCATTTTTTTCCAGGCCTGTTTCATTAGTTTAAATAATTCTGTTAAAGCATGGTTAAAATAGCAATGTCTGACTTTTATTTGATCCTTTTCATACAATTTGTATTTATCATTTCTTTTGTCAGATTTAAGTTTTCTTAGTTTAAGCTTAAGTTTCTTTCATTAAATTAGGAGAGCCAATAATAACGTCCAGCTGTGTATAGATAGAAAACAAAGGCAACATTTTTGCTTAAGTCTACCTTTGTAGCTTCAGTTTTTCTGCTCATAATTCCTGTTTTTATCTGATTAAATGCATATTTTATAGCCAGGATCTGCTTAAACACTGAAACCCCTTTTCAGCCTTTTTTTCCCCAGCTGACCTTAACTCAGTCTAGTCATATGATCAGTAGAGATGCAGCCGTGAAAGAGGCCCTGCTGAAATCTCTTCATCGCCCGAATACCTTCTGAGAAAACCCTGCTGCCATGATTGCTGTGCGTCACTGTAGCCTCATGTGTAAGGAAAGAAAACTGGCCCAGAAGGATCATCAGAAGCTGAGCAGCTCAGCTGACCTCAGCGCATCTAAGAGTTTCCAGGAAACAACAGAAAGGTGATCTACAGATCTACTTTGCCACCAGCACAGAGCTTCCCTTCATCAACGCCAGAGGGGTCAGAGTGGATCAGTGAGCAGAGCAGATGATGTTAATGTCCAGGAGCAACAGAGTAAAGAGGAGCTGGAAGTCAGATTTCTACCAAAGAATGAAGCTCAGGAACGCTGCAGAAATGTATCTAAAAATAAAGGTCACCATTTCTTAAAATGTGTGTATTTTCCGTTAATTTGAGCAGACAATGGAAAGAGTATTTCTGCCCTTAAATTAATAGTAAAGCATTGTCCTTCCTGCTCAATACAAACATACACGTATTTGAGTTTTGCAGCGTGGATAAAGGAGGAGATGAAAAAAAAAATCTCAGAAAGCTAATTCCTCCAAAAATAAAAATATCTGGTGATCTATGGATTTTTCCAGCATGAAGGAGCAGAAAGAAACACAAAGAAAAATTATTAATATGGAAGGAAGGATCCGAGCGTCTTGGCTCCTAATTATACTTTAATCTCAGGTTGTAAATGTATAAAGAGTTTTTTAACTTTAACCACTAAAAACTAGAATGATCAGTTTGGGTTTGATCTGGAAGCACAGGCGTAACTTTATGAAGGACTGAGTTGGACATGTCCCCACCAACTCTGTCCTGGTAGGGACAGTCCCCACCAATAATTTCAATATATAGACTTTGGCAATATGTGGGTCAAATTTCTAGATTTGATTTTTCTGCTTTTTTAGGAGGATAATCACTGATGTAGCTGAAAGGGAAACACCCATCAATCCACATTTTTCTGGATGGATTGATTCATGGATGAATGAAACTGAAATTGTGTGCACTCTAGAGAGGCATGATTGCTGTTAGCATCAGAATCGGCTGTTATTCAAACTTTTTTATACATTAATGCCTACCTACCTATAAATAACAGTGTATTTTGGTTCTTTTGTGTTCTCAGCAATAGGAAAGCATTCAATAAATATGTTTGAGATCATTTTTTCTAGGTCCATCAGCCTCCACCTTAAGAGTGTCCCCACCAACTTTCATTACAAAGTTACACCCTTGTCTGGAAGCTCCAACACTGCAAAAACAATCTAGAAATAACTAAAGATTTCTTAAAACAAGTGTATTTACCCTTAATTTGAGTAGGTAAATAAGAGGATTTGCCAATGGAATGAGGATTTTTACTATTAAAGTCGTAGGGAAATCATATTTAAATGTCAAATCATTCTGGCTTAAACATGTATATAAATGTACTCTTTATCA